CGTGGTTCCGGTCACGTAGCTCGGTTACATTCAGACAGACAGGCCAGAAGTCACAAGTGGCCACACCTGGTTCCCTGGATAGCTGGAATGTGAGGCGGGTTCCGCTAAGATTAGCAGTTAATTGGGTGAGGGGCAGGTTTTGTCAATAGAACATAACTATGGGTGTGAGGTTCTCTGCAGACTCCCTAGAGTGATGGTTCCTGTAATGATTGTTAGTGGGGAAATGGCTCCTGACAAGCATTGGTTGCGCTAGCTGCATTTAGAGTGTTGGGTACCCACACACAGCGGCCAGCTGCAGAACCGGTCCCTTTACTGTAGAGGTGTCCGTTGGTCAGTGTGGCTCCTCTTCAGGTTATGCCTTCACCTGTGCTTTGCTTCCTCCCGTGCCGCCTTCTGACCTAGGTTTGGCATCACTGGAGTTTCCTTCCAGTTGAGGCACCCATAAGCCAGTAGACAGAAGGGTTCATAGGAGCACAGCGAAAAAGATGAAGGTGCTGAAGAAAATATGCACAGGCAAGAACAAAAGTGCTGAGATGGTTTAGACTGGAAGGAAGAAGGCTGCGGGGAGTCATTATAATGGTCTATAAATACATTAAACAGATAATGTAGAGGAGGCAGTATTCCCATTAGTCAGCTTAGACCAAGCCAGAAGCATTAAGCGTAAGTTCCTTCAGAAAGGAAAATTCAGGTTATTTAAGGCAAGGGAGTGCAGGGAAGAGGGAGGGAGGGCTGCTTGCATCCAACACAGAGCAGGGTGAGACAAGTTGCCAAAGGACGGGAAGGCATCCGCTCTGCTGGACCCACTCAAAGCTAGGGCTTATGTCCTATTTGTGGAGGATGGCTTTTCACAGTAATGAAATCAATTCTACTAAGAGCAGCTGAGTTGATTAACCAGCGCTCTACAGGTTCTTTCCAAATGGAATAATTCAGAGCTTTCCCTGTGGATGGATGTACACACACACACACACACACACACACACACCCTTTAGAAAATAACAACTCATACCATTTTTGCCTTTTGGATTCTTTCATTTTCCTCACACACTTGTCATCAGCCGCTGATTCCACCCATGTCCCCCCACCGGATTCCTCCAGTGTCCACTTCTTATGCTTGTCTGTAGTTTGCAAATCAGATTCTTTCCCCAAAGTCAGAATTCATTCCTCTGAGCTCAGTCATGTGTATTCAGCAGATCTGTTTGATTCTGGTCTTAGAAGTTTGTTAATTTTTGTGCTTTATAATTCAAAATAGGGAACTCGTGTAAGTATGCTGTCTCTGCAGGAAAGGTGTGTGTGTGTGTGTGTGTGTGTGTGTGTGTGTGCGTGCATTTGTGCATGTATGTATATGTATGTGTGTATGTGCATATGTGTGTGCGTAAAAGGGACCCATATGAAAAATACATTGTTAGATTTGTTTTAAGTAAAATTTCTTTTATCTATTACCCAAAATACCATCCTCTTTATTTTTTTTTCTATTTCTCCAGTCCTTCTTGTATCTTAAACTATTTCTAGCAATTTCTGCCGTGTGCTTGGAGTTATAGGAGAGTTCTTATTTTACAGATGTCCAAGTTTGATAAAGAGACTTTACATGCAGTAAATATTTCTAACTTTCCACAGGAATTTGGAAATATCCCAGGTGATAAATGACTAATTAGTCATTATATCTGAACCAGAAAGAAGGCTTTTCTGACCGATCTTTGGAACTAAACAAGTATTTTTAAAACAGGAAGATCATTACAAGTCAGAAGGCATCAAAGCCACAGCGTTTGAGCTGTAATGAGGTCCTCCGTTCATATTTGGACCACCAGTAGTGGCACACAATGTCATATCTAATTGTTGCCCCATAAGTCTGCGTGTTGTCGGAAAACACCTAATTAGATTCCCACAACCACCTCGTCTCTAGCCAGAAGCTTTAATCCACTGCTTTCAGTGGCTAGCATTCCCTAGGAACTTACAGAGCGTGAAACTTAGAGGAAAAACAGGATGGTGGGGAAGCTAATCATCTCTTTTTTCTTACAGAAACAAAGACAGAATACCCATGAACAACATCTTCTCAGGGTCCAAGCAGTCTGGCCCTCGCTTTACTGGGGGTGGATTTCCCCTCAACCACTCATCCAAGGTGAAGTTGTAACTGGAAGTTGCTGGTTGGATCAAACTCAACAGCTCAGGAAATTTACTCTGGAGCCTTGTGGCAGAATTGCCCTCTAAATCCCTCAGATCATAGATTTCTAGAAAAGCTGGCGGCCAGCTTTCCAGAATGGGATGAGGTGAACAACTATCAATGTTTCGTTTATAAGAGCAATGACGTCGTACCCGAAGCACATGGACATTAACAGACTGTAATTGGAGCTCTTTAACTAGGCTGGCCCTTGGCATAGAGCTGATCTCTTGTTACAATCCCACTGACTGACTTAAGATGCACCAGGTTTAGAAATTCGGGCTGGGTGAAGCTTTGGGTATTAACTTCTCTATCATAGATATTTGAGCACTTGAAGATTTTTGTATGTAAAAATATTTTATATGGAAAAATGCAGCGCATGTCCTCCCGTCTTATTAGTGAAAATCTGTTTTAATTATTCCTCATTAACAAGTCATGGGATGAAAGCAGGACACGCTAGTGGGATTTCAACGGAGTATGTTAAGAGTGGTTTCCATTTCAGGCCTGGGGTAGGGAAATCCAGTCTGAAGAGAAATGCCAATAAATAACTTCATCATAAAAAAAAACTTTGTAGAGACATTGATCTTTGCTTTGGTAGAGCCTGTCATTAAAGTTTAAAATGACTGAGAGAAATGTTTAACGTAAGGATTTGAGTCAGAGGACCCAAGACTGAAAATGGAAGGATTCGCTGCTGTACTTCGGAGGCCTTGTGCTTGAAGGTGGAGTTGTTTAGCACCAGGATCTGTTTGGCTCTCAGGCTGCCACATAGCACTTTGAGCCACAGAATCCTGATGTGGGATGCCCCTTTGTGTGCAGTAAATATGTTTTGTTACCATTGGTTAATAAAGAAGCTGATTTTGGCATAATAGAGTCAAGCGGGAAATCTAAGCAAAGATAAAGGGAAAAAGAAGGCAGAGTTAGAGAGATGCCAGCAGCCACTGGGGAAGCAAGATGTGATGCAAGAAACCATGAGTCTTGTGGTAAAATATAATATAATAGAAAGGGTTAATTTAAGATGTTAGAGCTAGCTAATAATAAGCCTGAGCTAATAGGCCAAACAGTTTGCAATTAATATTAGGCTTCAGAATGGTTATTTGGGAACTGGCGGGCGGGAGAAAATCCTCTAGTTACAGATTTCACTGTGTTTTCTTTTTTGTTGAAGACCCAATTATGTGAGCATCATTCACAGTTACTTTATTCAATGTTCACTCAGTAATACCTTGGCCATCTCTCTTACAATAACTTCATTTCTGTATTTTTTTTTTAAAATTACCAAAGAGCAAGTATCTCAGGAATGAACAAGAGCACCGTTGTGGGACATTTGTGTACTCTGTGAAGATGAGTTGCTGTGATTGGTGTAATAAAGAGGTGAATAGCCAATACCTAGGCAGGAGAGGACAGGCGGGACTTCCAGAAGAGAGAGAAAGGAAGTCAGAGGGATTAATCTAGGTGCAGGAGATGCCAACAGGATGTGGAACAAGTTAGACGTACAGGAGAGAGGAAAGGTAATCCAGCCGTGTGATGGAATGCAGACTAGTAGAAACAGGTTAATTAAGTTATAAGAGCTAGTTAGAGAAAGCCTAAACTAAGGCTACACTTTCATAATTAATAATAAGTCTCTCTGTCATTATTTTTGGGCTGGCAGTCCTGACAAGAAAGCTTACTACATAATATAAGTGAAACATTTGAATGTTCCATCTGTGTTCATGGCCATGATTCCCAAGGTCAGCATCATCATCCAAGATGCTTGATCAGATGGTACCAGAAGGTGGGACTGAATTGAGTCCACTGAGGCTGGGGCTATCGCTTAGGTGAGGCTCCCCAGAAGCTGACCAATGACAGAGGAGTCCATGAGAGTGTTTTACTACGTGGTGATTCCACAAAAGCAGGAAAGAGGATGCGGAAGTGAAATAGCAGGCCATGGAAGGCATGCAAAGTCAATCTCTGTTTGCAGCAGAACATAGAATACACTCTCGTCAGTGCTCAGAGTTTTACCATGAGGGATGATAGGGCTTGGATGACTATAGCCTCACACTGTTAGCCACCAGCCAAGGGCTGTTCTGCAGGGACTCTTCTGGTTCTCCCTGCCTGTAGGCAATGCAGGCCCTTGCTGCTCCCTGGCAGGCCTTGGACAAAGGGATAGCAGGTATTGACTGCTGAAGTGGAAAAGGTTAAGAGGTCAAGGGGACATGGGATAGCTTGTGTCATCCCATGCTGCTCTCTGATTTGGACCAGAGTAAGACGGTCGGTCACAGGTAGAAAGAAACCTTAGTGTCCATGGAGATATTGTGAGGTGTTCTCCTAAGCCCTTTGAGCACTGTACATGGGTGGAGAAAACGGGGATGTTTCCTAGAGAAGTTACCAAGAACATTTTAAATCCAGAAGATCACAATGGGAGCCAGATATGGGTGATGCATGCAATGGCAGAGACAGAGGATTGGGAATTCAGGCCAATCTTGATTACAAGGCCAGTCAGATTTAAGCCTGTGCTACAGAAGACCTTGTTTCAAAACAAATGAATGTACAAATCAGTAGAGTTAGGTAAGGTGGTGCATGCCTGTAAGTCCTGCACTTGGGAGGCAGAGAGAGGGTGATCACAAATTCTATCTTCGTGTGGACAAGGATAAGGGTGGTTATATCTCAGTGGTAGAACCCTTTCTTGGGTGTACAGTGTTCTATATTTAATGCTAAGCACTAAAAAAAAAACACAGTGGAACCATTTCCATTTCTAAAAAGTCACCAACGATATTTTCCCTCAGAGCAATACATTGTGTAGATAAAGCTAACCCTTACTGTTTCCCATCTGTGCAGAGACGTTTTCTGAACTATAACTAAGGGCAAGTTCATTCTGAGCTGTTGAGAGGGCTCTCTAGAAGAGGCTCACCTCTGATTCTTGATCGATCCCAGGATGGCAAAGATCCTGAAGCCATCTTCTGGGTTCGCAGCCTGACTCGTAACAGTGAGTTGTTCTGAAGTGTGGATGAATTCCATCACATAAGCTTAGAGTACTGCCGGGCATAGAGTGTGCAATGTGTACGTGTATGTTTGTGCACATGTATAGTGGATACACAGAAGAGAGAACTAATATGTCTGGGGAAGAAAAGCAGCTACATAATTCTTACAAACTCTAAAGGTGATTCTACAATGCTCATACAGGGTGGATGACATTCAAACGTCTGGATGAAGCTTGATTTGGTAATTAGTTTATAATTACCACACTGTGTAAAATGCCACATTGTGTGCTTTATGAAATTTATATGCACTATTATTAAAATCTTGGGGAAAAGAAAATCTTATATAAAATAGTAATGTATCATAATAAATTTACAAACAAAAGTAAAAAAAACACCAATTTGAAGATAAGCTGCAAACAGAGTTTGACTTTGCATACTTTTTACCATCAAAAATTGGAATTTTCTGTTGTCATTCAGTCACCATAGAAAAAGACCTAGTGACCTCTGCTGTCCTCTCTTTCCTGGGCGATCGCCTGCACCACCAAAAGGGAGCCTATGTCCAGGACAGAAGAGGCTCTGGGAGCTCCATGAGGCTCCACTACATGATGTGTGTTATGTCCCAGTGGAAGAGTGCGTAAGGCTGGAAATAGCAAAGGCTCAGTACTGGAAGCAATAGCCATTTAGGTGCACGTATTTCCACCGTAGCCACGGCACATAAATGGATCGTTAAAGACACTGCCCTTTGCAAAGCACTAACAATAACTGTGAGCTCACAGTGGGCTTGGTGCCTTTAAGAACCACAAATCTGCTCTGCATTGTGAAGCAGCAGAAGGGAAAGGTATAGCTTCGTAGTTTCACCCCAGGGTTTTCTGAGTTGGAGAGAGGAGTCCACTGACTTCCAGCTGGGAAGCTGGGGACAAGTGATGGCTGGCTTCTCTGTTAATTGGGAGACGTGATGACGGAGACGCCCTGGCCATCATTTGCTGATCACCACCTCTCAGCAGCTTCTCCTATAGCTGCATTTTTATCGTGCTTACTTCTGAAGAATGGCTCAGAGCACAGGTTTGCTGCTGTGTTATGTTGTAGAGGGCGTTAGCTGTGTGTTGTAGGAAAAGATGGCGGCAATTTCGTTAATCATGGTGGTAATTCTGCTGGAAAAATTTACCCAGGGTGGATAACTCTCATTTGATTTCCTGACCAGCTCAGAATTTGAAGTTTGGCCTAGACCAAGATCCCCATAGGACAATTCTGCACGGTGAATTTTGCGTAGGGCGGTATTACGAAAGCAGGGCGGTTTGAAACACAGGATACTATGTCTTCATTAAATGTAGCCAATTCCACGGCCACCTAGCTGCTATTAGAGCAAAGGGAGGGTGTTTTTAAATATTAAAATTGTAAAATAACTTAATATATATCTCATCATTCTCTTTGAAGTAGATGGAAAATATTTTTATAGCATTATCCATTTTTAACTCCTAATTCAATGCTGTTTTAGTATACCATTCCTCATATCTATTATTTAAAGGTTCCATTAGGGCTTTGAGATCCGCTAGAATTTTATAACAGTAGGAAATGTCGTAGCAACAGGGTACCATTCTTCTTTTTTATAATTAAAAATAGATTTTCCCTCTTCTTTTAAAGTGCTCTGCTGTAACAGAAAGTTAGGAAGTGAGGATAAACAAAAAGGAGAAAAAAAAGTTAGCAATAATCCCTGCCCCCCACCTCTGTCACCTAGGACTGTAGCGATTGCTCATGTCTACCATTTGTCCTGACTCACTGAGGGCTCAAGCTACCAAATCGGTAAGTGTTTTGAACACTGCCTTTGGAATATTACTGTCACACACTCTTAAATGTATCTTTCTGCATTTAAAAATTATTTGATTTTATGAGTGTTTTGAGTACATTAATGTTTGTGGGACACTTATACACTTGGTACCCACAGAGGCCAGAGGAAGGATTTCCTCAAAACTGTAGGTTATTTTTATCTTTTCTACAGTACCATATGAGAGAAGTCCACACAACATGTTCTTTTGGACTTAGGTCTTTAAAATACCGTGCAGTAATTTTGAGATCAACCATGTGCTCTTATATGCATGTATACATCAATCATTTATTTTTAATGCATAGTAATATTCTACTATATAGAAGTAATGCAATTTGCTTGAGTAGTTGATGGGAGAGCAAGTTGCTTCTAAATTGTAGCTCCTGTGAATAAAGTTGCTGCAAAGACTTATGCATGAGTCATTATGTGGATAGACATCATTTCTCTTGGGAGAAGCAGTAAGGGCTGGAAATGCTGGATCTGCACGAAAGTGTGTATTTTACTTGATGAGACACTGTCAAAATGTTCTCTGGATTGCATCAACTTACCATCCTAAAAACAATGTCTGTGGACTCGTCTTTGTCAATGTTGTGCACCGTCAGTGTTTTTTAAGCCATTCTCTTCTATAAACAGTGATGTCTCCATGTGGTTTATTTCCTGATGACTAATAGCATTAAACATCTGTTATTGTCATTTTGGTCATCCATACATCTTAGTTTGTGAAATGCCTTTAAACCTTAAGTCCATTTTGATCTTCTTACAAGGTTGTGAAAGTTCCTCAGGAAAGCTGATGCATGAGCTTTGTCAAGTGTGTGTGTAACACTTACTTTGTTTGTGGTTCACCATTTCCTTTTCTCAACATTGCATTCTGAGGACCAGAACATTTCCATTTTAATAAGGCCCGATGAATCTTTATTTTTCTTGTTTTGCTTTTACTTCCGTTGTCTTGACTTACGCCATGTCTGCATACTCCACGACGGTAATGAATTTCTCTTGTCTGAATATTGCTTGAAGTTGTTTTAATTTTGTCTTTTATATTTATATTTATGGATTAGAGTTAATTTATGTATGGTATAAGGTTTTAGAACAGAGGTTCATTTTAAAACCTCTTTAATTTTAAAAAAATAAAATACAAATTCTTATTGGTGGTGGTCACTCAGTTGTATAAAAGATCTTAAAAGAATCCTTTGTCCTAGCTGAGATCTTGTCCCCTGTGGTCAGCTTCTCCCCCTTTCTTTCTTGCGCCCCTCTTCTCACAGCACCTGTTAAACCGAAAGTCCACTCTCTACTTCCTAGAGTTCAAACTTTTATGCCTTACGTGTAAGAGTGATTACTTAGCACTTGTCTTTCTGTGTCCAGCTTACAGCAGTTAGTGGGACATTCCCAGTTTCCTCTATGTGGTTACAGATGTGAGAATTATCTCCTTTTAAAGACTTAAGAGTCTCCTGCATATATGCCCTCTTATTCCTGCCATTCACGTGTTTGTCAAGGTAGACTTCTGTTGACTGATTGGAAATGGTACTTCAGTGAACATGGGACTCTCCTCTTTCCTCCTCTCTTAGTTTCCTTCCCCTCCCCTTTCCTCTTCCCTGTATCCTCACTCTTTCTAAGTTCTCCCTTTGTACCCAGGCTGGCCTCAACTTCACGTCTTCCGGTCACCAAGTGCTGTGTTTACAGACATGTGCCACCGTGTGCCTAGATTAGATGATTCCTGGTTCTGACTTTGTACCGTCCACTTACAGCTATTTGATGTAAGTCAAGTCACCTGACTTTCGCAGCCTTTGGATTCTAGCTTGCAAGGTGAGTGCCATGACTGTACCTGGTGCTCACCTCGTGAGTGTGAGGGCTGTGGAAGGCTCTCTAGGACATACGCACAGTGCCCCGGATGCACTAAATGTTCAAGAAACTGCAGCTTTGTTAATATCAAAAAACCATCTTGCTTAGAACTGGTGGTTTTGAAAATATGAGAAATCATTTTGAGTGGTCAGGCCAGTGGGTACCAAGCATCGTAGAAACCACTTCATTGCCATCAGGATAGATGCGTGGTCAGGAATGGACCACTGGGTTATGAGGCTCCAGGTGTCCACTGGGTTATGAGGCTTTCTATTACGCTCCTTAACTAGACATTCAAAGGTTGAATGGCTATTAAAGTATATTGTGTCAGCGCTCTCTCTCTCTCTCTCTCTCTCTCTCTCTCTCTCTCTCTCTCTCTCTCTCTCTCTCTCTCATTAGCGATTAGTCTTTTTTACACTTCATTTGAGACAGAATGCCAGGAACTCTTTCTTCTGGTTCCAAAATAACACAGTCCGCCTTTCCAGCTTAAACAGAGGCAGCTGCTTCCTCCTCCCTGCTGCGATGATGCCAGGGAATTTAATAAAAGTGACAGTATGCAGTACTACCACACCAGCGAGGCTTTAACATGGGGATGACCAGGCACACCCAGCGTCTGTGAGAGGGGGTTTCAAAGTCTCAAACCTATCTGCATTTGGAAGTTACCTGGGCATTTTCTTAATTAGTGACTGATTGGGGAGGGCTGATTGGGCTGCTGCTACTGGGTTCTATAAGAAAGCAGGCTGAGCAAGCCAAGGAACGCAAGCCAGTAAGCAGCACCCCTCCATGGCCTCTTGTATCAGCTCCTGCCTCCAGGTTCCTGCCCTGTTTGAGTGCCTGTCCTCACTTCCTTCTGCGATGGACTCCTATGTAGAAGTGTAAGCCAAACAAACCATTTCCTCTTCAGCTTGATTTTGGTCTTGGTGTGTCACTGCAGCAACAGAAACCCTAAGACACTGTCTTTCTCATGAGTTGGTTGGAGTTATTGTTTGGTGGCTTTGTTTTGTTTTGTTTTGTTTTGATAACCACAGAATCAAAGTGTTCTTCTAAGGCGATCATTTCAGCGGTACTTGACAGCCATATAACTTCACTGGTGACATTCACCTTTATCAGTAGACTAAGGTAGTAATTTTTAGGTCTCTTCACTATTTAAAGAAGATTGTTTGCTCCTTTTTTGGTTTAGTCTTTGGAAAAACAACATTAATTCTAGCTCACTATCAACCCAGAAATAAGTGGTAACAATTAAGTTCCTCAAAAGAGGGTGTCATGAAATCCCATTTCAGATGAGGGAACTAAGGCCGAGAGAGCTTAGATCGTTTTTCCTAAGGCCACCCACAGACATATGCTGATGATGTCAGCTTATTACCATGTAAGTCATACTCACACAGACAACCTTGCATGACTGATAGATCTCTTCGTGGTGCTATAGGAAAGAAAACCACCCGGCAAATGCAAATGTTCTCAATTATTTCTTCTGGATTGTGAGTAGGACAATAAAATTAAAAAATAGACTCCCTGCTGAGCCGTGGTGGCACACACATTTAAAGAGATAGAGGCAGGCAGATCTCTGTGAGTTCGAGGCCTGGTTTACAAAGCAAGTTCCAGGATATCCAGAGCTGTTATACAGAGAAACTTGTCTTGAAAA